CTGCCACATGGATCAACAACGCCTGGCTATTCGCCAGCGTGGCAGGGCAGGCCCCTGGATCTGTTATTCGGACGACGGGGCGGGCCGACAAAGGAACGCGGGCCAGGCAAGGGACAGACACGGGCAGGACAGCGAGGAGCCGAGGAGCGAGAAAGAGAGAAGGAGAGGGAGGGAGGGCGACAAAAAAAACCAGACCGGGCAGACAAACAGAGGAACGAGAAGACGGGAAGGGGAAGCAAAGGGGGGGGGAGAGCGAGAGAGAGAGAGAGAGAGAGAAAAGAGAGATACAAAAAAAAAAAAAAAAAAAAAAAAAAAAAAAAAAAAAAAAAAAAAAAAAAAAAAAAAAAAAAAAAAAAAAACACACACACACACGCAACGCGCAAGGGCAAGGAAGGAAAAAAAGGCAAGGGGAGGAGAAGAGGAGGAGGAGGAGGAGGAGGATGAGCGACAGGGGGGAGCAGAGCCAAGGCAAGGAAGAAGGCAGGCCAAGAAGCACGCCAGAGGCAACACAGCACCCCTACAACACTAGAAACACTCTACAACCAGACCTATGGATGGAGAAAGGCCCTGGCCGCATCAGCAACCCCTGGGCCGACGGTCGCCGTGCCCAGGGCTCGCTCGAGCACCGCCCGGGCGTTGGCCCGCCGAACGGCGACGCACAAGCCTTCCCCAAGTATTCCGGCACGCGCAGGCTCGCCGCCTTGCCATCTCTGGCCTGAGCTTTGCGTGCGAGCTGCTGCAGAGCTGCCGGGAACACTGCGCCTCCGTGTTGAGGAAGAACCCTTTGTAGTCCTCGTAGAGCTTCGCTGCCGACCCGGCGACCTCGCTCGCCTGCTGGAGGGCAGCCTGCCGCTGTAGCGACGCGATGGCCAGGTCCACTGCTGCTGCTGTGGACCCGCCGCGCCAAGAAGGCAAAAACACGTTTGCCGGGCGACGCAAGCACAGGTCGGCCGCCTCGTCCGGCCGCGGCGGGAGGAGGTGGCCCATTTCCAGGCCCGGCCGGCATCCCGCGGCACCGGCGTAGAAGTACGTCAAGTTCCGAGCCGCGTGGTGCGCCGCGCTCTTGTCACCGCCTCAGGTGCAGACCGAGCAATGAAAAGCGCGCACGTACAGCACGCTGTCACACAGGGGGCAGCAATCCTCCTCCTGGAAGACCTCCGCGGCCAGACGGCACTGCACCTCGGTGCAAAATTCGTCTGGCTCCATGCTGAGCTTCATGGCCTTGCTGGGCGCAGCCGTCAGGAAGCAAGCGGCGCCAGGTAAGGTCTCCGACAGTACTGCGGCCTGGACGGCAGGGCTGGCGCGCGCCAGGCGGTCGCGCAAGCTCGCCTTGTCTTGCGCGTCAGACAGCTCCCTCTGCGAAACTGGGGAGGCGCCCACCAACTGGCGCGCCGCCTGCGCTGGCAGTTTTGCCTGCAGCGTAGCGGCCGCGCGCTGGAGGCCAGAACCAGCATCGCCTGCGTCCCAACGGCAGCGGGCGTCGATCTGGACGCAGAAGTCCCTGGCGGCGACGCGCGACGCGAAGTACGCAGCCGCCGGGTGCCGCAGCGAACTCCGTAACCCAAGCCATGCGCGTCGGAAGCCGAGCGCGGCCTGCAACCATTCGTCCTCGGTCGGACGGAAGCCACAGATGTCAGCAAAGGCGTCGCGGACCGAGCTGTCGAAGGCGGCGACGGGAGCAGCCGCTGCCGCCGGGTCCACGGCGCGCGCTGCGTACGCCATCTTGCAGAAGCTAGCGCACTGCCGCAGGAGCCGGTAGCCGACCTGCGGACCAGGCGATTCGGACACAGCCTGCGTGGCGACTCTGGCAGCAGCAGCCCGCCTGGCAAGCTCCGCGCTGCAATGGCCCGCCGAACCAATCGGGGCACCCAGAAGCTCGAAATCGCCAGACAAGTTGACCCTGCTCTCGCCAGTCTCCTCGTCTCGCAGGAGCGCACGGCGATGGGCTGGACGCCCCCGCTCTTTTTTCGGATGCTAGCAGAACGGCGGCGCCCAGCAACGGGGCTACCTGCTCAGGCGCCCGGCCGTCAGCCAGCATTTGCACCACCTCTGAAGAGCTCTGTCAAGGTAGAAGCGCGCGCCCGTGTGAGGGCGTCGCTCAGGTGCTGCGCCCGGAGAGCTGACGGCCCAGCGCCGCTGCCTTTTAAGAACAACTTGAAGGCCTCGGTCATTTGGTCACTGGTCAGGCGGGGGGCCGGCGGTAGGCCCGCTGGCGGCCCAGGCGGGGGTGGCGGTTCAGTCGGGTGGAGCGCCTCCAGCTTGCGGCGGGCCTCCGCGGTCGGGTCCACCAGCGACTCGGACATCAGAGCGGGCCAAGGCGTCTGCCCTCCGCTGCCTGGCTTCCGTCATTGGATTTACATCTACACATGCATATGCAGATACATGCACATATATAATTAAGTGTACATGTAAATACATATAAGCACACATACATATTAACGTATACATACACGTAAATGTGTGCACTTACCTATATACATGTACACGTACATGTGCAGTTACATATGTAGATATACATATACATAAACATGTACTGGTTATATGTACATGTCCAGATACAAGTACATATACATATACATACACATAAACATATAATATGCATCCCTATATATATGTATATATAGATATATATATATATGCATACGTATGTGTATAGATGATTGCATGCATGTACGTATATGTGTACACATATTTAGACTTATATCATCATATATAGATATGTGTATACAAACCGTTGCATATATATAAATATATATATATATGTGTACATGTGCACATGTATATATATATATATATATACATACAGCTATACAAATACGCCTACGTACACATATCCATGTAGATGCACATGTGCGTATACATGTACACGGTACTATGAGTATGCATAAATGTGCATACACATGCACACATACTTAAACATAGCAAATATATGAATGTACACATACATGTACGTGATGGTAGACATCTACAAATACATAAACACGAACATGCACATATATTTACATGTACATATACCTATCCATGTACATACGCACGTATATACACTTACTCATAGTTCAGCAGATATACCTAGACATTAACATAGACTGATACATCTACATATGCACATATAGAAATTACGAGGCATATGCAGAAACCAATACATATGCATGTACATATACACATACGTTGAAATATACAGGCACCTAGCTATATATACATGTGTTTGTACATATAAATATATAAACAGAAATACATATATCTATATATATATACGTTTATACAAATAGATACAAACATGAATGTATACATACACATATGCATACACATAAGCAAATGCCTATACATAAACATGCACATGTACATATACGTATGTATAAACATATACATATACATGCATACATGCATACAGCTATATCTGTATATATACATACATATATATATATATACATATGCATATGTGTGTAAGCATATACACATAAACATGTACATATATCTATGTATATCAAAATACGTAAACCTCTACATATACATACACGTGCACGTATCAATTTCGCAAAGGGCTCTCGAGATCCACACCAAAAATGCTGCAGAACTTCCTGCTCCGATGACGGACGCGCTTTCAGGTTCCCGGAAGGCTTTCCCGGAACCTCAAAGCGCGCCCGTGTGGGAGCACTCGTGAAGGCTTATGTGAGCCTTTGGTGAGCGTTCTGGGGCCATTTTGGAACCCTGCGGGCCTTCCCTACGGCCCTCTTGAAATGTCCAGGCTCATTTGGAAAGCAGCCTGCAGCGCTCTTAGGCGCTCTTGGGCGCCTCTTGGGCTGGCTTGGCACCGCCTTCGGGGGCGTTGGGACCCTCGTGCACGCCTCGCGTGCGGTCTCCGAGCGTCGGGAAGCGGAGGAGGCGACCACTGGACATCAGTGAAAAAACAAATGGAAAATGAATGATGGTTTGTTGCCCACTGGGGCTGTTTCGGAAAGCAGCTTATAGCCCTCTGGGGCCGTCTTGGATGCCTCGTGGGCCGCGTCGGAGCGATGGTGGGCGTGCTGGGCCCATTCTGGAGCCCTGTGGGCCTCCTTGCGGACCCTTTTGGCGTGCCTAAGCTCATTTGGAGAGCCACCTGAAGCCCAGATGGGCGATTATGTGCGCACTCCCCCGCTCTTCCATGTCGAAAACCCTCCTCTCTCTCTCTCTCTCTCTCTCTCTATGTCCATCTTTCATCTACCTCTGTCTCTCTATGTCCGCCTATCGTGCTGATTGGTGTGACCCCTCCCGCAACGGACCAGCGACTGCGTGCCCGAGCGGACAGCACGCGTTCTGTCCTGCAAAACGCCCATGAGCGCCAAGGGGAAAGTGACAGGGAGAGTGCCCACGCAGAAGGCGGCGGGGCTTCGCAGAAGCCTTCTGGGCTGCGGCGTCGGAGAAGGCTCCGAAAGCTTCACATACAGTCGGGGCCCTGAAGAAGGAACCCTTTTCGTTGGGGAGGGGCTCCGCGTTCCTTAAGTGTTTCACAGCTTGCCTCAGGCTTTCCTTATGTTTTCGACAGGAAATCGAAGTTTAACTTATGGAAAAAAGGGGCCTCGCTCCTTATTTAGGGCTCCTTAGGTCAACGCCCCGACTGTAAAACTGCAGGCCTTCTGAGCAGCCTTCCGAGAAGGCCCACCCCCTCTGCAGCCTCTCCCGGGCGCGCCGCCGACGCTCGTGGGAACGTAGTGCTGTCCACATCCTCCCTTTGCTCAACCTTCTTCCCCTCCTCTCCCTCACTGAAATCACTCAAAACGACGCGAAGATCGGGACAAAATCGGATCGGGATAACTCGAAATCTCTGAGAATCGGCGGGTTTGGAGGATGTATTGGGCGCCGCGGCCGCTCCAGAGCGTCCCGGAACGCTCTGAGAGCGCTCCAGAACGCTCTGGAGCGATTTATCCCGATCCTAGCCCTGTTTTATTCTTCCCCTCCTCTCCCTCACTGCAATCACTGTCCCTTTGGCCTCCCCAGTCGACTCCCCCACAGGAGAGAGCCGGCCATCGTTCATGGTCCTCAGCGAGGACATGAGAAGCCCCAGTGCCGCGAGGAGCACGAAGAAGCCACCCGACCACAGCAGTATCCGCGACTGGCGGTCGGCGCTGCAACGCAGCATGTAAGAGGGGAGCGACAGCAGGGAAGCGCAACTTGTCATCGGTCTGCGTCCACAATGAGCGGATAGTATCAAATCATACACATGAAATCCACAACTCTCGAACCATGGTCACGCAAAGCTCCAATGGCAAAAAGGGCAGACTGATGCTGCCGTCGCTCCTCCATGTCATCGTGACCATCATCATGCTCCTCCTCCTCCCCCTCCTCCTCCCTCTCCCGCTTGCCGAAGGTTTCGAAACTTCGGGCGAGGTCCTGCGCGGCGTGGCAGAAAACCAAACCGTGGCGGGCTCGAGACCTTGAGAGGTGCACCTCGCCAAGCGCCACTAGACAGCGGATCACACGTGGGAAACCTCCGCGTGTCACGAAGGTATCTGGCCTCTCTGCAGCCTGCAGGGCGCTCGGACCTGCACAAGGGACAGGAACATGATGCAGGCGGGTGCGCGGCACCCCCCCGCCGTGCCGCGAGGCGCTCGGCTTGGAGCGCGGGGCGCCACCCGCAGAGCTCAGATGCGCGACCAAGCAGAACACGACGAGAGGTGCCAACTAACTCCTCCTCCTCCTCCTCCTCCTCCTCCTCCTCCTCCTCCTCCTCCTCCTCCTCCTCCTCCTCCTCCTCCTCCTCCTCCTCCTCCTCCTCCTCCTCCTCCCTCCTCCTCCTCCTCCTCCTCTCCTCCTCCTCCTCCTCCTCCTCCTCCTCCTCCTCCTCCTCCCTCCTCCTCCTCCTCCTCCTCCCCTCCTCCTCCTCCTCCTCCTCCTCCTCCTCCTCCTCCTCCTCCTCCTCCTCCTCCTCCTCCTCCTCCTCCTCCTCCTCCTCCTCCTCCTCCTCCTCCTCCTCCTCCTCCTCCTCCTCCTCCTCCTCCTCCTCCTCCTCCTCCTCCTCCTCCTCCTCCTCCTCCTCCTCCTCCTCCTCCTCCTCCCACGCGCGATCTTTATGATTCACATCTTGCGCGAGGGGTCCTAGACTGTAGGTTGGCCCGGCGCGCGCCCCGAGAGGGCGCGGGGTCCGGGCAGAGAGAAGGGCGGCAGCCACCGACACGACGGCGACGACAAAGAGCGACGGCGAGGACGAGGACGACAGACGAACGAGCGCAGCGAGGACGGGCGGGTAGACGAGGGGCACTGGCAGTGGGCCCCGATATTACGGTTCGCGTCTCGCGCGGCGGTGCATGGGACATGGGGCGCGGACAGACCAACTCTATCTTGTATTCCCACCAGCCCTCTGGGCGTGGGTAGTTTTGCGGGCTGCCTTTTCTAGCCTTCTTTTTTCCCCTTCGGGGAGGGGTGTACCCCTTCCCTTGGACACACACACACACTTCTTTCCTCCGATGCACGGCTGAATCCGAACCGCGGAAGCGGCGCAACGGGATACGAATACCACGACATAAATATATATATATATATATATATACACACACGCACGCGCGGAAGCGGTCAGTCAGGGTGTCCCATACGATCCTAGATCGCTCCGAGGCGGCCACGGACAGGCCAAATTGGCTTCCAAGATCATTGCCTGCAGCATGCCTCTCAGAAGACCCCCCATCGTTGCCGACCGGCCCGAGGTGGCCACTGAGCCTCCCAAGGACGATGGGCGTATGCGGGCTCCAGAGGGCCCCAAGATCGCCCAAGATAGCTCCAGGGGAAGACCCGATGCACTCGAAGACTCTGCACCTCAGGAGCGACCCAAGATGGACACAAGAGGCGGGTGAGCTGGTTCCGACAGAAATGCCTGATTGCTCTCTCCTTTCTTGCTTGACCGATGTCCTCCAACGCACCCCCAACGGGGCACTGAAGCTCCCAAGAGAGTCTCAGAGGCTCCCCCCGAGATGCCTCCAAGAGGCCCCTAGAGATCTCCAAGTCCACCATGGTGAGTTCCTCTGTTTCACCATGTATGTTCTTCTGCTCCCCTTCTCCCGACAACCCGCCTGGGCACCGTTTCTGGACGGGTGGTAAGAGTTTTTGGTCCGCGGGCGCGCGAAACGGGTCGAACGCCGAGCCTGCTACGGCGGGCCGCGCCAATAGCGAGGTGAAAAACGATACACTTCTCGATTTGTACGTGTCATCCTTGCGCAGGGGCCATGCTAATCTTCTCTGTATCGTTCAAAATTTAATGGATGATCCCGAAGGGAATCCGCTGGTAGGAGTACACGAAGCGATAAGAAAATCATCATGCCAAGAAATCATAAAACTGGACTTCACAGGGGAAGCATGGACCGCCGCCATCGAGAACCCGCTGGTGGTGGGCCAACCCGCCACCCCCGCTGGGTGCTCGGTGTCGGTGGTCAATGCTCCCCCCCTGAGCATTTGCCGACAGCACGAGCCACGGCATCTCGAGCTGGAAGAGCGACTACACACGACACGGCCTTGCAAGGGCTGGCACGCGCGGGCCGCCGAGCCACGGACCTGCGCCTGGCGCACGCCACGACACGGCACGCGCGAGCCACGAGCCGAGAACCGGACACCGCACGGCACGAGGCACGCCACGCGAAAGGCCGCAACAAAGAACACGAGCCGGGACGGCACGACGGCACGGCACACAGCGCGCGCCCCACGGGACGGCAGCGGGCACCTGGAGAGCAGGCGCACGGCACGGGCACGGCACGGGCTCGGCTTTGGGCACGGCACGGCGCGGCGCAGCAGAGCACAGCACGACGGCGCGGCACGCGCGCCTGGAGGCGGGATCGCGGCCTGGAGCCGGCCCGAGCGCGGCGCGGCGCGGCGCGGCACGGCACGGGTCGACGGCACGACGGCACCGCACGGTGGCGCGGCACGGACGAGCAAAGTGCGACACGGCGCCACGGCGGCACGGCACGGCACGGCACGCGCCCTTCGGGGCCACGACTGCCACCACGGGCGGCTGAGCGGCACGGCACGGCACGCACAGCGTCCGGTGTGCACCTGCGCGCTGTGGCGGCAGGATCTGGGCAGCCGAGCGCCCGCAGCCTCCGGCCTCCTCTCCAGGAGGGGCACGGCGCCCCCAATCCAGCCGGCATGGCTCGGAGTGAGGAGGAGGAGGAGGAGGAGGAGGAGGAGGAGGAGGAGGAGGAGGAGGAGGAGGAGGGAGGAGGAGGGAGGAGAGGAGGAGGAGGAGGAGGAGGAGGAGGAGGAGGAGGGGAGGGAGGAGGAGGAGGAGGGAGGAGGAGGAGGAGGAGGACGAGGAGGAGGGAGGAGGAGAGGAGGAGGAGGAGGAGGAGGAGGAGGAGGAGGAGGAAGGAGGAGGAGGAGGAGGAGGGGATCGAGCTCCGCACGAGACGGGGCGCAGGTGCAGCTGCCAGGCAAGACCGGGCCTGGCCAGGGCGCGGCGGGCGGGCGGGAAGAGGGGCCCGGGTCGGACGACAGGGGGCGGGAGTGGGGGCGGGGTTGGCGTTGCGGATGCCATGACGATGGACACTCGAACAATCCGATCATCGAAATGAAGACGTGTTCAAAATGTGTAAGACATGTTCTACAAATGTTTCAACTATGTTTTAACATGTTGGAAATCATTTGGCGGTATGCTTCCTCGCCATGAATCGACTTCCACAAGGTTAGCGAATGCTTCGCCCGGCGCCTTCTAGCACCGGACTGGCACGCCCGAAGGGGGTGCGAAGAAAATAGGCGGGATGCGCAACGGCAAATGCTGTCCAAAAACCGGCAGCGGCCGCTGCTGGGCAGGCGGCGCTCTGTCTCAAACGGACAGCAACCGAGGCGACGCCGACAGCGAGTCCTGTTCAGAATGGACAGGAGATGTGGATGCCACGACAATGGACACCCTAACGGTCCTATCCTTGAATTTGAAATGTGATTAAAATGTCGGAAAATGTTCTAAACATGTTTTGAACATGTGTTTTACATGTTTAAAACATGTTTAACACATTCTTTAGATATCTAGAAAATATTTGGCAACATGCTTACCCTCCATTGATCGTCCCCCACAAGATAAGAACTGCTGTCTGTCTTCGTGCCCGTTCTTTCCGTACCAATTTTGATCGTGTCGACTGGATGCGCCAGTGCATCGAGGAACGCGCCAGGCGGCGGGACCGAAAGCAGCTGCGTTCCGCAGATTTCGTTCCCCCACCCCTTTCCCTATCCCCCTTTCGTCCGACCCGATTGGCGGGGCGGCGGCGCGGGCCATCTGGTCCTCCAGGTCCTGTGCTCGGAACAGAGGAGACTTGAAGGGGATGATGCAAGGGCGAGTCGATAAAATCAAGCTGAGAGACGAAGGTACGCGCGAAAGTGAAACCCTGGAAACAAAAAAGACCAAGCACACCGTGCTGGAATTGCACATGTCTTGCGGATCGCACAGTCAACGGCGCAAGTTAAGCCAAAACGACGTGACGAGGAGACATCTTGTTTCGTCAACGTACTCAGCACATCACTGTAAGCACGCGGCGCGAAAAAAACATGTCTGCTACCGTGCCGCGAGAGGCTCAGGTCTGAGAGTCCTCAAGTCCCTTCGAACTCGCAATCCTTACTAGCGAATGCAAAATTCGCCGGCCCAACGGGCCAGAGGCGTGCTAAGATCTCCGGTAACTGCTCTACAATGTTTCTACTTCGCGCGCGCGGGGCGGCCCCTGGGGGTCCCCAGACGAAAAGTACCCCGACCAGGTCCCGGCCGGTCCCGGTCCCCGGCAAGGTCCCCGGCAAGGTCCCCGGCAAGGTCCCCGCAAGGTCGGGCCAGAGATGCCGGAGCCCTGTTACAGGGCCCCAGGACGGGCCAAGAGGCCCCCAAGAAGCCTCCAAGACGGTCCAAGAGGGCCCCGAGACGGCCAAAGATCGCCCGAAGACGCCCAACAGGGCCCCAAGACAGCCCAAGAGGCCTCCAAGACGCCCCAAGGGCCTTCCAAGAGGCCTCCGAAGAGGGCCCCAAGAGGCCAAAATCGTTGATTTTCATTGTTTTTTTCGCTGTTTTTTGCGTTCTGGCTTTTTCGGCTTCCGGACGCTCCAAGACGGCCCAAGAGGCCCCCAAGACCGCTCCAAGACGGCCCATGAGGCTCCCAAGACGGCCCCG